CCTTCCTCCAATTCACTTTTTTTTTATTCATCTAAAAGTTATTTTTTTCCAGATTTGCTTTAAACTTATAAATTAAGTATGATGTACATACATATCAACTTAGATAACCACATATTATAAGGAAAGCAGATAGATGGACCACTGCAGAAAAATTATAAATTTTTCCGAACAGTAAAAAAACAAAACATGTAATGTCAAATATGAACATGAAGCCATATCACATAAAAATAAAATTACTCCCTCAGAAGTGATTGAAAATTAAATATTTGGGGAAGTATTCTGACTAATTCAATGAATTCAATGACCAACGACTTCCCGTATTACACAGAAACAAGCCACAAAATCATCTAAAGTTTATATGCATTATCAGTTCTTAATGCAACCTCAAACATTTTACTAGCAAGTTTGATTTCCTTTTGAAACAGGCTTCTGTACATATGCATTTATATATCACTTTTCTTTTTTTAGTGGACAAGTTTCCAGATGTTTATTGCCAGGACCTTCTGCTGCTCAGAGTGAAAAGAATGTCAGGTTCCTCTCCTGCATCTGCCATCTTGACCAGAAGACTCTCCAATCTGCTTTTTTTTTTTAAAAAACAAAATTTTTATTGATTTTTTTTTACAGAGAGGAAGGTAGAAGGATAGTTAGAAATATCGATGAGAAAGAGACATCGATCAACTGCCGCCTGCACACCCCCTACTGGGGATGTGCCCGAAACCAAGGTACATGCCCTTGACCAGAATCGAACCTGGGACCTTTCAGTCCACAGACCGACGCTCTATCCACTGAGCCAAACCGATTTAGGCTCCAATCTGCTTTTAAAACTACAAATACATTCTCAAGCACAAGACCAATGGTTTTTGCCCTCACACCAGCTGTGCTCAGGGAAAAGCACTTCCGACAGCTTTTGCAACCCTCCAAGAGCTGATCTCTGTCTAACTTTCCAGTCACACCATAATTAGTCCTGAATGACTTGCCAACCCCTGAAAGACACCAACCACATTTGCATCTGCACTCTCATGTGACTGGTGACTGGGCAAGCCCAGCATAGAGTCTCGTTTCCTTCTTCCCATATGAGACTGTCTCTTGTGAAATAATGTTGAAATGCAGGAGGAGGTGGAGTAATGAATAGAGACAAGTGACTTGGGACAGAGAAGAATAAAGTATGTTATGGAAAACAGCCAGCATATCATACATGGGCGCTCTTCAACAAAGGTCCCAAACCGCCTAGCTCACTGGCTCTTCCCATGAATGTTAAGCATGTTTCTTTACAACAGGAAGGAGATGTCCTGACTGGCCCCAGTGTCACGTAGAGCCTCCACTCCAAACTAGGAAGGTGGCATCTGGAACCATCACCTGAGTTGTGGCTGCATAATCCAGCAAACTATGGCTTTTCTGTATTTCCAAATTTCTGAGTAATAAAAGAGCTAACCCACAGAAAAATCCTAGAAATAATGACCAACCCAATAGCAGTGAGAACCCTCTGGACTCAAATTATGGACTCTAAATAGCAGTTTTCAATAAATAAATTAAAAAGCCAGGTCCCTGCCGAAACCGGTTTGGCTCAGTGGATAGATCGATGTTTATCTCTCATCGATGTTTCTAACTCTCTATTCCTATCTCTTCCTCTCTGTAAAAAATCAATAAAATATATTAAAAAATAAAAATAAAAAAAGCCAGATCCCCTAAGAGCAATGGTAACTCTAGGTCTGGTTCAGGAAATGTACAAAATAAGATTAGGACATATTGTCATCCAGAAATAAGGAAACTCTCAAAGTCTACAACAAGCATGTCAAACTCCAGGCTGGCAGACCGCAAGTTTGACATGCTTGGTCTGCAAGGCTGTATCCAGAAGACTTGGCAGCTGTTGAATAAGCTCCCACTGGCCAAGGGACAGTGTGAACACCACAACAAACATATTGACATCCATACTGTGTTATGATACTAAAACAAAAAGGAGAACAAGTAAACCTCATAAGTCATCTTTGGAGAATGTTAGAAAAACAACTCATTGTTTTGAAAGCTGATAAGTATGAGAAACAATCTAGCATTTATCCTGCCTCTCCTAACTAGACTGAATTTCAGAGTAGCCAGGTAGTTGATTACTGGAAGTTTCCAGGTATAAATGTATTCAAACTAGCAATTGCAGAAAGAAACACAGAATATCACCATTTTGCAAGCCCTACTGAAATTATTATTCTAGGAGATAAATATCAATGATTCCTTGCGTCACAAAAAGAGAAACAACTAGCTATCATGTGCCTCCCAATGAAGCACAAATATTACTTCTTAAAGATTCTTTTTAAAATCAAATATATTGCCCTGACAGGTTTGGCTCGGTAGCAAGAGCGGTGGCCTACACAATGAAGAGTCCCTGGTTTGATTCCAGTCAAAGGCACTTGCCCAGGCTTAGGGCTCCATCCGCAGTAGAGGGCGTGCAGGAAGCAACAGATCAATGAGTATCACTGACCTTTCTCTCCCTTTCCCCTTCCTCTCTGAAATTAATAAAAATAAAAATATTTTTTAAAAAGTGTTTCCACTGATACCAGTTTGGCTCAGTGGATAGAGTGTCGGCCTTCGAACCTGGGGGGGGGAGGGGGAGGGGTGCAAGAGGCAGCTGATCGATGATTCTCTCTCATCGATGTTTCTAACTCTCTATCCCTCTCTCTTCCTCTCTGTAAAAAAATCAATAAAATATATTTTTTTTTTAAAAAAAAAGAAGTGCTTTCCCTGATTCATGTTTTAAAATGCTACATTAATTTTTTTTAATTAGCCCTAGATGGTTTGGCTCAGTATCAGACTGGGGACTCAAGTCAAGGGTCTTAGGTTTGATTCTGGTCAAGGGCACATGCTCAGTCCCTAGTAGGGGGCGTGCAGGAGGCAGCTAATCAATGATTCCCTTCATCATTGATGTTCTCTATATCTCTATCCCTCTCCACTCCTCTCTCGCTAAAAATCAATAAAAATATATTTTTGTTTTAAAAAGAGGGAAGCACCATATTTTCCGGCGTATAAGACGACCCCCTAATTTTACAGTTAAAACATAGGTTTAGGCCTATATTCGCTGTATAAGACTACCCCCCACTTCAAAGAAAAGACTTACTTTGCCGTCAAGATCTGCAGGTAATTTTTGTGCAATTTTGGTCTTTTGCCCCCGATTTTCGGTTGACTTTTTTTTCATTTCAAAAATCGTCTTATACACCAGAAAATACGGTACTCTGTGCTTGGTGCTGGGCTAAGTACTGCACACATACTAGTTTGTTGACATTTCACAGCTTCTGAGATAGGTACTGTGAACATATTAGATGAAGAACCCGAGGTCCAGAGGAGTTAAATAACTTGTCTAAGGTAATCCATAAACTGGCAGAGCTGGAATTCAAACTCAGATTTGCCTAACTCCGAAGTCCACCACACTATGTGCACCAAGAGTTGGAGGCATGGCTTGTGTGAAGGTAAGTAATGTGTGTGAAAGAGCAAGGGAATCCCTGAATGTCATGCCAAACGTCTGTATTGTGGTCCACAAGGGGGCTATGTCCCAAGCAGTATTATAGGAACAATGGCCTAACATGTTTGTGGAGGACGGCATAGGGCCTTGCTGGGAAGATGGGAACCCTGTGGGGGACTGTAAGGTTAGGGAGGAGTCAGCAGCAAGAATGAGGAAAGCCTAGAGAGAAACAAGCTTCCCAAATGTCAATTAGGAATCAATAGAGTTCACCTTCAGAGTTAAGCAAAGATCTTCCTCCAGTCCCAGTATCAGCTGTGTGTCAGACCCTGCCTCAGAGAGGGCCCCCACCCCTGTTTCTCCTTTTCGGACAGTGAGGATAATTAGGTTGCTGGTAGGCTCCCTACAACTCAGCACCCTAAATGCTCTGCTCTCCTTCCTCACTCCAGCTCCTGTAAGGGAAGTGAACAATCTTTTTGTACACTTACGCTAAAACCACAAAGTCCACAATCGTATTTTAATTTTAGTGAGTTTTTAAAATTAAAGGTATGTTTTTACATTATTGCAAGAAAAAACTTTTTTTTTAAATGAGCTCACTTTTAACCTCAATACATTTTTTTTTTTATTTGAAATTTTATCAAAGGGTGAATCATCTGGTCATCTTCCCCCTCTAGCTACAATGAGACCAGCTCAACAGTAAACTTGGGGGTCTGGGATGGGGATTCCATCCCAGCCACTGTGTCCTTCACTGCCACCTGGGAGGAGAGAGAAAAGGCAAAGACTGGAGTCAGGGGCATCTCTAATTCAGTAAATTTGATGCAAATGTGCCTCCTCGGGGGTCCATCCCACTTTGAAGCAGTGTGGGCTCAAAGAAAAAGGGAACTCGGCCTCTCTCGTGATTTTTGTGCCAGGAAAACCCTCTCTCAACAAGCACCCCTTTCGCTGAAGATTTTGGACTTACTGGCCAAATACATGTGTGTGAACTTCCCTGACTTGCAGGGCCACACCTTGCTCTCAAACACTGCCTTCAGAAGACTGCTCAGCCAGTGGCTCCGCGATGGGGGGAAACTCTTAACTAAGCAGGCTCAGCAATTCCCCAGGAAGGTTCGCCCCTCGGACAAGGAGAAGACACAATGATCCCCAAAGCCTTGGTGTATGTGTGACGAGGCAAGCGGGGCGCTTTTCCGTTGCCACGGGTCAGCTCACTCTGGCTACGTCGGGGTAAAGAGAGTTGTATGGGCACATCTCACCAACCAACCACTCCCTTGAGACCTTCTCTTCCAAACTACATGATGGGCTTAACCGAGAAACGGCCCCAGCAGAGGCGAACCGCTGAGGTTTTAAAGCGTTGTTTGCGTTTAGGCCTGAGCCGAGCCGCAGCTGGAGGCAGATCCCCTTCCAGCGACCCCGCCATCAGCCCCCGATTCCAAACGAAGCCTCTCAGGCGCTTCTAGAACCCCCTCCTTCGGCTTCCCCCGCACAGCACTCGGAACCCTCAGGCCCTGGCCAGCCTCCTGGCCGGCCTTTCAAGGCCGGGCATCCCAGCCCCGCGCCTCACCCTCGAGCGTCTCGCACTGCACCAGGTTGAGGTAGTCCGCCTGGCTGAGCACCCCGGCCTTCAGGCCGCGCACCAGTCCCTCCAGGTAGCCATTGTCCACATTGAAGTAGAGCTCCGGGAAGTACGACATGGCTGCGGCGGGACCGGAGAAGCCCGACCCGCAGGCTCGCAGCGCTCCTCCAAGACCAGCTGACTCGGCGGCGCCCGCAGCGTCCTGTCAGGCGCGTCAGGTGACACGCAAAGAGGGTCACGTGGCCGCTGCGGGGCGGGCTCGGAGTGGTGCCCTTCTTCCGGATGGCTTCTAGTGGAGGCACTGCGCAGGTGCGGGCTGGGCCAGCGCTCTGGCGCCTGCGCACAGAGGGAAAGAGCGCCCCTGGCCCCCGGCTGGAGCCGCTAGGAGTGTCTACGGCCGGCCGCGCGGGGGTGCCCGTGCCGTGGAAATTGAATTGGATCCCCTAGCTTTCCCGGGTCTGGTGTCTCTGGCACTTAGGAAGGCGTGCGGAGCAAAGATGAGAGCTATTTATGCTTGGAAATATTCCAGACTGTTGAGTCAGCCTTCCCCCGAGGGGAACAGGTAGGGCGAGGGCGGCCTTCGCGGGGGATCACCCATCAAGGTAGCTGTAAGAGGCCCTGGAACCTAATGCTTGCTTGTTCGCCAGCCAGAAGTTACAGCCCCTATCCCGCGCTATGCCCCTGCCCCTCTTCCCCTCCTTTACTGTAGTGTTTCCCAAACTTTTGACATACGTGTACCCCTTCTATAATTTTCGTTACGCTGAGTACCCCTCGTACTCATGAGAATGTAGAATTAGGCGCAGCTAAGCACGGTGCAGTGCATATCCCCACCAAACTCTGGTGCAACGCGTACCCCCACCAAACTCTTCCCGTACCCCTGGGGGTACGCGTACTACACTTTGGGAATTTCTACAGTGTAGAAGATTCTGGAGGGCTGAAGAGCGAAGAGCGGCTCTCCTCTGCTTCCCCCAACGGCGCCTGGTGCCCTAAGACTGTGCCTGTAAGTAACTCAGATGATGGGGTAACACAGGCCCTGGGGGAGGTCTGAGGTTTCTAGACTAGGCGCCTGCCAAGACCTACCCCCCTCCAAAGGCCACGTTTGAAATAATGTCACAGCCTTGCCGTTGGTCCCAAACTTTATTCACGCCCCCTACCCCGTCACAGCCCCGACTCTGACGTTGAGCCGTTAGGTGCGGCTGCAGGGGTTCATGGCGGTACCCAGCTTGCGGCAGTAGCAGAAGGCGTTGAAGAAGCGGCAGTAGCACGTGGCGCATGGGTCGCAGCAGGGCACTTGGTGTCCCAGACAGGACTCGTGCAGCCGCACGCAGCGACGCACGGAGCGCGGCTCCCGTTCTTCTGGATCTAGCGCCTGCAGGGAGGGATGCGGAAGCATGAGCCTCCGAAGGCAAGTCCAGGGACCTCACCTGCCCCATGCAAGTGGGATGGCAGCGGCGCATGGGGGTCTGCAGGGTTGCTCCAGGTAAGGGGGGCGGGGGAGTCAGTGTAATGGAGAGTGGGAATGATGCCCGATGTGCCCGCCCAAGGCCTGTCGCCTCACCCCTTGCCCTGAACAGGTAGTTACCTCTGCCAAGGCCTTGGCCTCCTGCAGCAGAGCCTCTTCTGCCTGTTCTGCAGCTGTCCTCTTCAGCTCAGGCCTCAGGCCCAGGTCTGTGACAGATGATGTGAGAACAGACCCCCCCCCCCCAACCCCCAACCCCCTGCCATGCACACAACGCCCACTTCCCAGGCCTGGGAGTGGGAAGAGAGAAGGAGGGCTCGTACCAGGCTGAATGGTTTGTGGCCAGAGGGTGTCCAAGCCCCACCCAGACCCACCCCTGCCCACACTGACCTGACAGCTCTGAGAACAGGGCCTCGTCAGGACTTCTGATGCCCTCCAGGGCTGCCAAGCTCATCTGGGCCCCCTCCATGGCAGGCAGTGCCAGCAGCAGGGCACAGCTCAGCATTGCAGTCAGCATGGCCTGGCTCAGCAGGGAGACCCAACACTTAGTCCCTCCTCACCCCTGGAGGCACCCTCTAAGTGTCCTACCCCCAAGATAAGCCCCCAAAGAAGGGGAATCTCTGCCCAACCCGAGGACTTACTTCTGCTGGCTGGATCCTTGCCCCGAGCATTCCTGGCTGCCTGGTGCCCTCCGCTTATATAGCAGAGTCTGATGAAGGGCCCACACGTGACTATTCCCTGAAGCCAGGATGTGAGGGGCCTTCCCCAGAAGAGGGGACGGACATACAGTTGAAGCCTCTCTCCCTCAAACCTGAGTTTGTGGGTGCTCTATATGAGCATGACCATCTCCGATTGTGTGTTTGAGGTCTCCAGGAGCCAATTAAAGTTTGGGGATATGACAGGGGTGCCCAGGGCCCCCAGATTTTGACAGGACAGGGACCTGTTGGGGGCAGGCTGGAGCCATTAGCAGTAACAAGGCAGACAGCCCTGAGCGCTTAATTTAATTTGTGGGCCCGGAGATGCTCAATCAGACACTACAGGGCATGTTGTTTGCTTTGCTTCCAGGAACTTGGGTCAAAGGCATTGAAGGGGGTGATGGGCCAGTGGCCAGAGTGAGGCAGAGGAGGGAGCAGATCTAGTGTCCTGGGTATTATTTTTCCGGGGGGGTGGGGATGGAAGAGAGAAACCCAGCTAGCCAACCCCAGCCCCTCCTGCTTCCATCCCTGGTTCTTCCTCTCTCCTCCCTCCAGGCCTTTTCAAGACCCCCACCCCTTCTCCTGTCCCCAAACTCCATTCTGCCTGGGGTTCCTGGAAGCCAAGGAAGCAGAACGGTCTGTTCCCTGGGTGGGCGAGCAGCTTCCACGTAAAAAGCTTTCAGGCCGCCTGCCTCATTAGTGCTAATGGTTGCTCCCTTCCTCCCTACGTGGTTAGGGCTCTGCCCACGTCTGGTCTCAGCAGCACGAGGCTGTGGTGAGGACTGCCTGTTGTGGCGATGGTGGGACACACAGGACCCCTGGCGCCCCTCACCTCTCTGGAGGGCGGCTTATCACACACTTGCCCGTCGGGGAGAGGGCTGCAATCTGAATCAACTGCAAGGCCTCAGGGTACAAAAATGGGCTGGCCCACAGCGCCGGGAGGAGGATGAAGGGGCTGTTTGTGGTCCAGGTTCACGCAGGCTGTTCTGGCCAGGCAAAGGCCTGAGGAAGTTCCCTCAGCAGCGGGTGGAAATCATAGGTTGGCATCTGGGGGCCCGTGGCGTGGTGTCAACCCCAACAATTGGTGTTGGGGTTTGGGTTGCATGGGGAGGAGATGGTCCACGGAGGATGGCCCTAGGGCAGTTCCTTCCACTGATATCTGGCCTAGGATCAGGTTGGCATTGGACTCGCTTGTGTTTGGCTCAGGCTAACAGCCCTATGAGCTCAGGGGGTCACACTGCTGCTGGGGGTGGTGGAGGAGGCTGGGGACTCAGGGAGGTGGTCCCTGAATAATCCAGCAAAGATATTACCTTTCTCCCCTGGCTGCTTTGGTGGCTCTCCTTGGACATTGAGGTTTCTCTACAAGTGGCTGCTGGGCCTAGTGGCCCACCCTAGGGCTTTCTCTTCTCAGAGTGAAGGTATCTGGCAACCATGTATGACGACATTCTGGTGGGGGCCGAATGGGACTAAAAAGGGCAATACATCAAATATATATATATATATATACCTGAGGCATCTTCCCCAAATCCTTGTGCATTGGCCCCATTCTCGGAGATTCTGGCTGAAGAGACAGTGGTGGGGAGCAGGGACTGCGTGTCTGTTCTAGAAAGGTGCCCTGGCTGAGCTGAGCTGAGCCTGGTCAGCACACGTGCTAAGGGCAGTTCTTCATATTCTAGGGCGAGGCCCCGTCCCACTCAGGCACTCAGGGTCCTGACTCGCCTACGGAGCCATGACTGTCATCCGTGGGTGTGTGCACACAGGTCTCTCAGCCCCATGGTCAGTGATAGACAAGGACTGAAGCACTCACACAGGCAGCCCGGGTCCCTGATTAGGTCCAGTGGGACAGACAGTTAAGAAAACCATCAAGCCGAAACCGGTTTGGCTCAATGGATTGGGGACTGAAGGGACCCCGGTTCGATTCCAGTCAAGGGCATGTAACTTGGTTGCGGGCATATCCCCAGTAGGGGGTGTGCAAGAGGCAGCTGATCGATGACTCTCTCATCGATGTTTCTAACTCTCTATCTCTCTCCTCCCTTCCTCTCTGTACAAAATCAATAAAATATATATTTTTTAAAAAACACATCAAAACGTAGTGGGATGATCAGAGAGATATAAACATGGGATATTTGATGACACTAAGGAATAATTGTGAAATTTTTTACTGGTGATAATAGTGTTATGGTTATGTTGTGTGTGTTTTTAAGGACTCATCTTTTAGAGAAGCGTAATAAGTATCTACTGATAAAATGATAATATTTGCTTCAAAATAATCCAAGGTAAGGGGGATAGTGGAGGTGATATAGAAGAAACAGAATTGTTCATGAGTTTGTAATTGTTGAAATGGGTGTTGGGCCGAAACTGGTTTGGCTCAGTGGATAGAGCGTCGGCCTGCAGACTGGAGGATCCTGGGTTTGATTCCGGTCAAGGGCTTGTACATAGGTTGCAGGCACATTCCCCATGGGGGGGGGTGTAGGAGGCAGCTGGTCGATGTTTCTCTCTCATCCATGTTTCTAGCTCTCTATCACTTTCTCTTCCTCTCTGTAAAAAATCAATAAATTATTTTTTTTTTAAAGAAAGTGGGTGTTAGGTGCATGGGCTACATTATCCTATTATGCTGCTTTTGTTTATGCCAGAAATTTGCCATGATGAAAATTTAAAAGAAAAGAAACATTTAAAAGTGCAGTGGGATAAGTGCTTTCATAAAAGAATGCCCCAGGGGCTGGATGGCACCCACTCTCGCTCCGCGAGGGGGAAGGAAGTTAGCTAGGGAAAGCTTCCTCGTCCAGGAAACCTTGACTCAGTCATGAAGCTTGAGTAGGCGTTGGGGAAATTCCAGGCTAGGGACATTGTAAGTATCCCGGGCCCATAACTGGCACGTGGTTTATCAAGCTGCCAAATATATACAGCTTAACACTGGCACAGGCTCTGTCCCAGCCCTCGTTCCCTCCTGCAGGGCCCCAGCCTGGTGAACAGTCAGTAGACTTTTTTCCCCTCAGGATCAGCTACCCCTAGAGTTGATTCAGTCAGTCCGTGAGCCAGTCAGCAAACATCTCACCACTTTCCACTGTCCAACTGCTGTGAGGGCGCACAGGCTCAGAACAGACCGGCACTCATGCCACCCACAAACCCAAGTGGAGTCCACGGAAGGAAATCAGCATTTGTTCATGCCCTTTCCCTCCCTCTGCCCTCAGCATGTGCCACCTACCCCCCCCACCAGTGAACCGGCCCAAAGCACGGCCTGTGGGTTTCTCGTTATAGCTCTCTCACTAGGACTATCTGTATCTATACATGAAAGTGAATTTTCTCCTGGGGTTATCAGATTTTATTAGTTTGTGCAAATAGCCAGCCTTCGGCTTAATTTATCAGACGTTGTTACAATGAAGTTTCTATCTTTTTCTATTTGCTTTGGTCTTGTCAATCCTTACATTTACCTTTCCTCCTGACAAACATAGGAGTCTCTAAAAGACCCCTCCTCCTTGCCAGAACCGATTTGTCTCAGTGGATAGAGTGTCGGCCTGCGGACTCAAGGGTCCCGGGTTCGATTCCCGTCAGGGGCATGTTCCTTGGTTGCGGGCACCCAGTGGGGGTGTGCAGGAGGCACCTGGATAATGTTTCTCTCTCATTGATGTTTCTAGCTCTCTCTTCCTCTCTGTAAAAAAAATCAATAAAGTATTTTTTAAAAATAAAAGACCCCTCCTCGGGAGTCATTTCCTTCGCTATTATGTAAGTGGTCTTACTGATCAGAAATTGACCCAGTGTTCCCAAGACAATTTTTGTTGGCAAAGGGCCTTCAGAAATGGGTGGAATGTTCTGGGTGTGAGATCTTGGACGCCTGGGGGATGCAAAACCTATTCGTGAGGCTGGGAACACCAGACATAGGGATCCGGGCTTCAGGGAGGAGGAAGGGGAGCGTGTGGATGCTCTGTGCCTCCTGCGAAATAGAGCGTGTTTCCTGATTGGTCCAGCGGGGGGCAGCAGAGCCCTAAACACACACTAGCTCTCCCAGTCCAGCTTCATTCTGAAACCCAGGTCCCCAACCCAGTGCACTGCCCCTGCCCTGCGCCTGCCCCTGTGGCTCATCTATAAGATTTCCAAAAGGAAGAGGTTGCCTGGAGAGGTTTGGTCCCCTCATCATCGGGGAAAGGAGCAGGATGGATGGGGGTTATTTCAGACTGGTGCCTTGAACCCTCCACTGAAGGGGGGTCCCACTGTGATCAGGAGCTCCATGTTTGTTGCAGGAATGCCAGCACTTGCCACTCTCCCTTTCATTTCAACTATTGACTGAGGGCGTGCTGAATGACCAGCACTGCGCCAAGGCATCTAAACTGAGACTAGGTCAAGGTCATGTTGACCTGGAGCTTCTGATTCTGGGGTCAACTAGGCTTTGTGGACTTGCTTGTTGCCAATGAAAGTGTAGGCTGGAGTACAGCCAGGGGGAGTGGGGTGGGGTACAGCCAGGGGGAGTGGGGTGGGGTGCAGGGCCAGCTGGTAGCGGAAGACCTCTTCAGACTGCAAGGAGGTTCAGGCCCAGAGACTCCCTAGCCTTGCTCTAACTCGCTCTCCCTCTCCCCCTTCCGTGCTGGAAATGGCCCTATATTGGGGGCCCCAAAACAGCTGAGCTCTTTGGGGAGTGCTCCATCCCCATATAAGGGAGCACCCCGACTCCCTGAGCTTGTTCAGTGGCTTAATTAAAGCCCCAGGAACAAAGATATCTGCACAAGAGGAATTGATGAAATACCTGGAAATGGTTCCCAACCTAGAAATCGCTTTCTGCTGGAGACTCAGGAGCTCTCCAACCTGCTTGCCCCCACACTTGAGGGTCCATGAATGTTAGAACAGAGGCTGCAGGAACTGTGGACATAGGCAAGGAGATGCTGCCTAGGGTGCCGGGCCTAGGGGTGAGTGGGTGCCTGGCTTTCAACAGGTTCAAGGTGAGCTCAGGATCAGCTGGAGAAAGCAGGGAGGACTGGGGTGGCTCTCTGGACTTTCTCCTTTCTGCTTTTTTAAAAATATATTTTAATGATTTTTTTTCACAGAGGGGAAAGGGATATAGAGAGTTAGAAACATTGATGGGAGAGAAACATCCATCAACTGCCTCCTGCACACCCCCCACTGGGGATGTGCCCGCAACCAAGGTACATGCCCTTGACGGGAATCAACCCTGGGACCCTTCAGTCTGCAGGCCGACGCTCTATCTACTGAGCCAAACCTGTTTTGGCTCTCCTTTCTGCTTTTAAACGCTTTCCCATCCACTGTGCCTCTCACTAAAAAGCAGGCCTGGGAAGTAGCGATATGG